GAAGGAACAACTGACCCAGAACTTGAACAGCGATAATGAAAATATAGATAAAATATACGATACATTAGTGGAAACCATGGTTAGGGTAGGAAACGAAATCGCACAAAAAGATAAAAAGAAGGTAGATTGCATATCAGAAGAGACAAAGAAACTCATGGAAAGAAGGCGGAAACTGAACGAAGAAGGGAAAAGGAAATCGATAGAATACACAGAAATCAATAAGACCATCAGGAAAATGATAAAAGAAAACAAAAGAAAGAACCAAGAAATAAAAATATAAAGAGTCATAGAGAATAACAGGAACATGAAATGCCTAAGACCAACACTAGGAAGATACGAAATAAATAAAATAAGAGACAAGAACGGCGTAGAAACTAATATTAAGGAGGATATTATAAATATCACACAACTGTTTTATACAGAACTATATGAAACAAAAAGGGAACCACCGCAAGAAACCGTAAAACAACTACAAACTAAAATAAAGAATGTGAACTCAAAACTGCAACCCGAAATAAGCAAATCGGAAATAAAGATGGCTCTGAAAGAAATAAAAAACAGCAAAGCACCTGGAAAAGACGGAGTCACGGCAGAAATGCTAAAATACGGTGGAAAAACGGTCATCATTACTCTCCATACCCTCCTAAATAAAATACTGAAAGAAAAGAAAATCCCAAACAACTGGAATGAATCCATTACAATCATCCTTCATAAGAAAGGTGATAGAACAGACTTGAAAAACTATCGACCTATAACACTCCTTAATATAATTTATAAGCTCTTCACAAAAATTCTCACCACCAGGCTAACAATAAAATTCGATGGTTACCAATTGAAAGAACAGGCCGGCTTCAGAAAGGGTTTCAGTACAAGTGACCACCTATTAACCATGAAAATCCTAATAGAACGAGCCAACGAATATCACATCCCACTATATATTGCATTTAAAGTCCATGAGGGAACAAAACCAATACCTATAGGAAGAGGTGTCAGACAGGGCGACACAATATCACCCAAACTTTTCAACCAGGCTCTGGAAGATGTTTTTAAAAAACTAGACTGGGAGAGAAAAAGGTATAAAAATATGCGGACAACACTTGAGCAACTTAAGATACGCGGATGATATCGCCCTTATAACTGATAAGAAAGAAGAGCTGACAGAAATGCTGGAAGAACATAGGTCTCAATATGAACTACGCTAAAACTGAAACAATAACTAACACAGACGATGACATCATAATCAGAATAGGACAGGAAAAAATAGAACAAGTCGACGAATATATATATCTGGGACAGATTATTAAACTCAGCAAAGAAAACCAAACAGCAGAAATCAAGAGACGAGTTAGATTAGCTTGGGCAGTATTCGGTAAATTAAGCTACATCTTGAAAAATAGAAAATATCTACAATACCTGAAATCCAAAGTTTATAATCAATGTATACTTCCTGTTCTCACCTATGGATCCCAAACATGGACACTTACAAAGTCAAACATGGATAAAATAACAAAAGCACAAAGATCAATGGAAAGACAAATGTTACATGTGAAACTGATAGATAAAAAGAGGAACGAGTGGATAAGAAATAAAACGAGAGTAAGAGACGTTAGAAAGGAGGTAGCAAAATTAAAATGGAAATTCGCAGGTCACAATATCAGACAAAAAGACGACCGATGGAATAAATGCATCTTAAGCTGGAGACCTTGGGAGAATAAAAGAAGTAGAGGAAGACCCCAGATGAGGTATGCTGATGACATGAAGAAGCACGCTGGAACCAAGTGGATGAACATGGCAACAAACAGAGAAGAATGGAGAAGACTGGGGGAGGCCTATGTCCAAAGATGGACTGAAGAAGGCTGAATAGATAGATAGATAGTAATCACCAGTTGTTAAAAGTATGTCATGAGTTTATAAGCTTGTTAGTCTAAGAGTCGGTTTATTAACTTTCTGATAAACTGTCAGGTATGCAATCTGACTGATGAAAACGCAATCTGTAATCCAATTGGTCGGCTAGTTATCAGCCGAGTCATCAACCTAATCAACTTAATGATTTCTTTATAAATGTAGCACTTGAACTACAGGCACAAATTGGTGTTTCAGATGTTGACCTATAACGAGGTTAGAGACATAATAAACAACACAAAAAGCAAAAAGAGCAGAGACTGTTTTGGTTTCACAGTTGAAATCATTAAAGGTATCAAAGAGCTGATAATAATCCCCTTGACTAAACTTATGAATCAGTGTCTACGAGAAAATAGCTTTCCATCGGTTCTAAAGAGTGCGGTTGTGGTTCCGGTCTATAGAAAGGGGGATGCTGCTGATCCCTCGAATTATAGACCGATATCACTTCTGCCAATACTTTCAAAGATCTTTGAGAAGTTTCTTGCCGTACGTATCATTAACTTTTTTCAGACTGAGAACCTCCCAAGTAGCACATAATATGGGGTAAACATCGTTTTTCAGTTGGGCCAATATTTATTCATTTTTGTTGATAAATCAACACAGTACCAACATTGGGGCAACGTTAGTTTTAACTATGTGGAAACAATATTTAAAAATAATCTTGTACCAATATTGTTTTCATAGATTAATTAACTCTTCAGTAATTTGAATATTGGCCCAAGACTTCTCACTACAATATTAATTTATGAAATATTGGCCAAATATTACATTTTATTTTATTGAAACAATATTGTAATATAATATTAATTCAATATTGGCATTCAATTTTTTATTGATATTTAAATTCACTTCAAAAACTTTGTACACCCAATATTTATTTCCAATTTTTTCGCAATATTGATACTTTTTGAAAAGCCCAATGAAGGGCCAATATTTACATACTAATTTTTACCAAGGTTAGATTTTCTGAATTGAAAATGTTGGTCCAATATAGGTTATTCAATGTGCGCACTTGGTGTGCCGACCAAAAAATAGATGGAGACTCTGTCTTCACTTTACCTGTCTTAAACCTGGTTCCAGGATGAAGCCAAAAATTGGTTGTTTTCTGTCTGCGGGACCCTGGCGAGACTTAACCATGCTGATGACTTGTGATACAGCGAAACAGGTCCACGGATGGTCCGGCAAAGAGAAAACACTTCTTAGCCGGTCCTTATAATTGGTCCGTTACCTTAATTAAATATAATATAAAGCCAAGATTTACATACGTCTCCGGCCCAATATTGGTAATTTCAATTGGCTCTATATTGCATAAAGTTCTTGATATGATATTGATTATTTCTTTTTGAGCCAACATTTGGTTACGTTATTGTACCAACGTTGGTATTTGTTTTTGGGTATATATTGACATACGTTCTTGGACAAATATAGGAGAATGTCCACATCTTTTATTGGGCCAACATAGAGAATCTGACTTGGGCCAATAAATCGTAGTTATTGTCCCAATATTGGCCCAATATGGGAGTGCTACTTGGGCTGTTTACCGACAGCCAATTCGGATTCAGGAGTGGCTTAAATACAACATCAGCTGTTCTTAATCTGGTCTCTCAGATACAAGAGTCCTTTGAAAATGGTACGTACATGTCCGGGACGTTCTGCGACCTTAGCAAAGCCTTTGACTGCGTTTCGCGGAAAATTTTACTTGCCAAACTAAAAAAATATACTTTTTCCGATAGTAGTGTTGCAGTTCTATCTAGTTACTTGTCAAACCGTCCTCAGGTGGTGAGGGTTGGTGGTGTGGAATCCTCGGAGAGGGAGGTGCTGGTTGGTGTACCACAGGGGTCAATCCTGGGACCCCTTTTGTTTCTTATCTATATAAATGATCTACCTCGAGCAGATCACATCGCCCGGTACACCCTCTTCGCGGATGACACTACCATAGCCTGCACCAGCCATGATTACGAGGGAGCTAGGACTGCGGCGCGTGAGGCGCCGGAAAGGGCAGAGCTCTGGTTCAAGGCCAACAATTTGTTCTTGAACATGGCCAAAACTCAAAACATGGTCTTTTCCATCAGATGGCTTCCGGAAGATGATGTCACTGCTAAATTCTTAGGCATAACTTTAGATTCTAGACCAAGATGGAATCATCACACATCTTCCTTGGTTTCCAAATTAAGCTCAAACACCTTTCTACTTCGTAGGCTGTCAGACAGTGTCTCCCGGTCAGTCCTGAGACAGGCATACTTTGCCCTTTTGCACTCCCATATATCTTATGCAATTTTAATTTGGGGCCATTGTACTGGCGCAACAGATGTCTTCCGTATCCAGACAAGTGCAGTTAGGGTTATCGCAAACTTATCATACCGTGATGACTGTCGACACGCGTTTGTGTCCCTAGGGATCTTGACCGTCCCTGCTCAATTCATTCTTGAATGTGTACTGCATGTGAGGAATAACCTGCATAATCTTGACAGGCATGAGAATGTGCATTCCTATGAAACCCGCAACCGTGGGCAACTAGTGCCTCCACACAGACGACTTAAGAGAAGTCAAGATGGCCCTGGCTTCGTTGGGATCAGGCTTTTTAATATGCTGCCCCCTTACGTTTGGGAGATGCCCCCCAATACTTTTAGAAGGGCTTTCAAAGATTTTCTTCTGAGTAAGGGATTTTATAGTGTTAGTGAATTTTTTAATTGTAATGTTATCTTTTGAAAGTGTGATGTATTCTATAGTGCCTGACTTGTTTTTTAATTTATTTTTTTTTAAATTGTGGTAAATTAGGATTAAGTTTTACAATTTTTTTAGAATTTTTATATAATGAATAGTGCTTTACTCTATTTTTTTTTTATTACATTTTTGACGTGTGTAAGTACTCTGCTCTGTATAATAACATGAATAAAGAATTTGGTAAAATAGAATTATAGAATAGTTTATCTCGCAGATAGTTATACCAGCAAGTTTATCTGAAGATGAATAAATCGGGCCTAAATTATATTAATTTCATTACTGTTCTCTATTTTTTTTGGATAATACATTACAGAAACTTACTCTTGCTCAAAAGGTTTCCAATCTTCAGGAACAACTGCAGTAGGTAAAGGTACTTTTTCTACTACAGTTATTGGAGCTTTAGATAAACTTTCAGCTGCTAAAGCTTCAAATTCTTTATCGTCCTCGTCCTCTTCGAATTCTTTAAGGATTTGTTGAGGTTGATCTGAAACAACATTTGTAAAGCACAAATTTATACAGGATTGAGATACATACTAGTTTCAACTTGTGGCGGTGGCGGTGGTGGTATATAGAGACTTTTACTCAAGTCGATAGGTTCGTCAGGTAATGGAATTTCATCGTCATCAAGTAAAGTTTTGACGATTTCTGGCGATTGTGTTGTATTACCAACAACAGGCGGACAACTATCGAAACTTCCCAAAAGTAAATCTTGTTGCTTGAGAATTTGCCGTCTCGTAGACGGAGGTTTAGTGGCACAAGTTGGAAGTTGAACTCTGCCTGTTAAGACTTCAACTGCCGCTCCTAGCGGTACAAGTTTTTTGCCTTTTCTTTCGACTGCCGGCCCTAAAATTGCCCTTTCAGCGTAGGAAGTGTCGAAGGGATCGTCGCCTTCTTGCTTGTCAGTTGGAGATTCTGGGATGTAAGCTAGTTTGACTTCTCCTGTTGTTATAGCATCAATGTAGGCTGTATCGAAGATATCGTCTTCGTCTTCTGCAAAGATAAAGTTGAAGATATTGAGTTTGTTTGAAAAGAGGCATAAATTAAAACAGAAAGTACCTTCTTCAGATTCTGATTCTGAAACTTGAACAATACCAATTTGAGTTTCTTCTTCTTTAGGCGCTGCTGCTGCTTCTTGTTGACGTTGAGCTTCTTTTTGAGCTTGTTCTTCCGCTTTTTTCTGCTTTTCTGTTTCGCTCGCCGGTGGAATACGTTGAAAAAATGAAGTGCTCTATATAGACAACAAGATGCTTTATTCTTAATTATTATAATAGCCGAAATTTTACCTTAATTCGATCTAAGTCGTCTTGAGTCTTCTTCAAAATATCATCTACTCCTGAAGTGAGCGAAAGGAAATTTTTCCACTCTTCGTTTTTGGCCGAAGACTCTTCGCTACCCGGGGCGTGCTCTTTACGGTAAGCTTCAAGCTCTTCGGGCTTGAAAAGTTCCTCTTCCTTGTGTTTCGATTTTTTGCCTTTCTTCTTCTTTTTCAAACCTTTTGCAAGTTTGTGCATTATCTAATCTACTACGGGCATTGAGGCCTCTGCAATAACAAATTAGTTTGAAAAATCTAAAACCAGAATCAATCAGTAAAACACTGACCTTACCCAGGCCTGACCTTACCCAGGCTCTAATGTAAATTTACTACTTATGATGAGAAGGTATTAAGCATTTTTTTTTTAACTCGACTTTATAGTATCAAAAAATTATTGGGTTTATTAAATTTTTGTGAAATATTAAAACTGGGATGAGCAACTACTAGAAACAGACGCCCAACGTTGCCAATTTGGCACTTCGACGCCTGGCGTCGGCGTATCTATTGATTTTCTTTTCAGGCACAAATGGTGACCTTATTTACATATTACAACATTGCTATCTATTAGTAGTAATACTGTTAAGTGAATTGAAATGCCAAAATATGTAATAGGAAAATTTCAAGACGTAGGAGTTTGTTGAAAATTTTTAAATCAACTGCTTTCCATTGAAGGAAAAATAGCGCATCTTGAATTTTTTTTAAAAGTCCCTTATGCAGCTAAAAATATTCTTGAAGGTACCTTTTAGAAGTAATTTTCACATTCGCAATATATTTTAATGATAAAACAGAAAAAACTATATTGTAAAATGTCTACTTACATTTTTAGCCTCATAATCAGTACCCAAAATTAATCCAAAAAAAGTTCCACAACTAAAACCTCACTCTAAACTCTATTCTCATCAAAAATTAACTTTACGACTCATGTAAATCGCGTATTTTCTGGATAAAACAGGAAGAAGGTCCTTCAAATGGCGGCTCGTCGGGGAGAGCTTTGATTTCAAGGATATTGATTTTGCGCAAGGGTAAGTATGGATTTTTCCCTAGACTCGTAAGAGCCGACTCGGGAGTGGGAAATTTTCCTGACATTTATAATTGTTATAAAGTTGTCTGAATAAATCACCTTTCCATATATACAATCAAACAACAAAAAAAACATATATTTTACAATTTCAAACAAAAATTTCAGTCTTAATCTATAAAAATACAGGGTCATGAATCAACTAATTGTTTTACATAATCTATCCTTTCTCTGGCATATAGTAAATTGTTCCATTCGTTTTTAGCAACCATTTTCACTTTGTAGCCTAAAATTTCCAAGTGCCTATTTTTCATCGCCTGTTTCCCTTTCAAACGATTGTAGAATCTTGTAAATGCTGAATCTCCTATTAAAAGTATGGCGACTTTCCTAAAAAAAAAATATTTTCATCAATTAAATGTATACAGGGTGCCCATCTTATACTCACGTTACATAAGGATCTTCGAAATTATTAGTAGGATTTTTGTGTTGGTCCAAATTCAAGACAAAATCTATTCCATAACCGTATGGGGTTATTACGTTTTCCTGAATTGCTTCCTGATTGACTATCCCTATTAGATATTGTTTGACGCTGTTGTGAAATTGGCTACATAAATCGTCTATAGCATCTGGAATATATTGAATCAAATATTTAAAAACAAATTTAAAACAATCATGATAATTGAAGTCCTCACTAGTTTTCTGAAATTCTTCAATAAACTTCTGATGAAACCATGGGACATTGTATTCAGGATATTCAAGACAAACCGCCCTATTCAATTGCATCAATGTATCTCGGACTCTTCGAGGATATCTATCCTAAAATATTTATTTTTTACATAAAAATAACTAGTATTGATAAACTCACTCTAAAATAACAACTGGCCAATTCTAAATCTAATTTATCTAGAAACTCCACATTGAAAATTTGCTTTATGAAACTTTTTGGCATTCTATGGAAAAAGCACAGAGCAAGAGAAGCTTGTAGGAATCCCAAACCGCTCATCCTTTCTTGATCACTAAAAAATAAACTTAAACCTTATTCAAATAAGAAAATATAGTTTCTCTTTTACCGAATTATAATATCTATCACAGTTTGGAAATACTCGTCCTCATTTACAGGCTGATAATTCACTTGATACAACAGATAAGTAATTTTCCCAGCATTAAAACCCATAAGTTTGTCTTTATTTTTCCGTACATACTCTGTACATATATTAACTACTTCAGGCACTAAAGATTGGGTGGCATAAAGTGCAAAGCACATATTTTCCATTAGTTTTGAAGACATAGAAGTCGTGTGTTTCCAATTTATAATCATTTCATCTATAAGCTCATTATAGGCGTCATTTCTTATTATTGAGGCCTTTATTAACAAACTCATTCTAACTGGATTATTGTCTAAATATGTATAAATGCGTTGTGTTCCTTCAAATAAAATTGTTTTTATTTGTTTTATTTGTTCTTGAGTTAAAATTGACTTTCTCTATAAAGTAAACTGATAGAAATCAAAAACAATAAATGAATAACAAACTTACTTGTCTAATTACCATTAAACTATGAGATATTTTGAATAAATCGACAGCATTCATTTGATTGCCTAATTCTTTAAATTTTTGCAATAGCTGATCTAATAGTTTATGATCATGGCAAACTAATAAGCTAAACCCTAGTAAGCTGAAAAATTTAGAAGGCAACAGAGTATCTTTTTCTAAATAGTTTTGGGTCAAATTCAGCGCATGATGTTCGAAAGCGTGATGCCTGAATCCAAACAAGTCACTGCAAAAGTACATGTAGCTCTCAATAAGCTTCACAATTTTGTCCAGGTCCTTTTCTTTTTTCAATATTTGGCATCCTTTGTTCCAGTAACTTTCACATATTCTTAAATCCGAGATTTTTAGGGACGAGAAAATTTTTCTTAACGTTATAAATCCGTTCGCGTCCATTGTGTACTTTAAATATTTTTCCACGATTTGTCGAAATTGGTCTTTGTTGATTGGGGATGAGAAATAAATGACGCAAGAAAATAATTTCAGTTTACTGTTCGGGTGATGGTCCATGTCTTCGATTTCGTGTAGCAGTTTTGCAGAGGCTCTTTGAATTGCGTTTAGAGCATCACCTGGTTCTTGATTTTTGAATAAAATCTAAAATGTGTTTGAATTATTATGAAAGTCAGCGATGAATGATTTATTTAAGGTATAATTTGTCTGATGAATATTTCATGAGACTGCCTCTTGATTTTGTAGTCCTAACAGAAACATGAATAGATATCCTTAAGGGATATAACATTTTTAGACCAGTTTCAGGGTTGGCAAAAATCTGGCTAACTGTATTATAGTGGATAGAAGTTGTATTTTTGGTATGGATTTTTGATGATTTTGGTGAATATTTGTGTTTTTGCTAGGAACAAGTTTGTAGAAAAAAATGTAGTTCTTTGACATTTCGAGGATTTGGTATTTTAGAAATAGCAAAAACCTTATCTGGGTTTGGAGCAATACCAGAAGAAGTTATTACATGACCGAGGTAATTGACAGAAGAACAAGAAAATTTGCATTTCGAACGGTATAACTGAAGTTTGAATAATTTTGAGCGATCAAAAACTTTTAGTTTTCACAACATGAAGTTCAAATGAGTTTTCTTTGCAGCATATAATATATAATCAATACGAAGCAAGGGGTATCTGTCGGCTATTGTTTTCGCATTCAACTTCCGGTAATCAACAGTCATCCTAATGCCACCATCTTTCTTTGGAACAAGAACCACAGAAGCAGCATAGGGAGACTCGCACTCTTCTATAGTTCTATCGGCTAAGAGTTTATCAATTTCTTTTCGCAATTGCTCTTTTCTTATTTCAGACATGCGATACGGAGGTACAGAAATTGAAGTTTCGTCTATGAGATTAATAGAATGCTCTGCAAAAGGAGTAAAAACATGTAAATTAGTTTGAAGTAATTTTTGAAGAACATTTTGTTATGTGCTTCATCAGTTTAAACAAAAAAAAAATCTTGTCAGATTTTGATTGCATCCGAGGTTTCTGGATTATCAATAGCAACATTATCAGAAATAAAGGAATATTTAATGTCAAGAGAATCACCATAAAACCAGGAATCATTGGGCATATCCAATTCAACAATGGCTAGTTTCGAAAAATCTGTACCAATAATGTTCTGCTGTTATGATGTTCTGGAATAGAAATAAGACAAATATGATGAATTCTATCTTGAAGCATTATTTTAACATCAAATAAGTAGGCTTCAACTTGAGTACTTTCACCATCAGCAAGAGTCACTTCCAGTTCTTTCTTTATATAAGGTAGGTATATCATCTCCAAGATGAATTTTACTCAATTTAGCACCAGTAATACTTGATTTGATTGTGCACCCGAATCAAGATAAGTTAAGCCATGATGACCTTGTATAGTAACATAATTTAGGTAAGGGTCGAGTGCAAAAATTGGGTAGAAACAAATTATCTGCTGTTATAGTTAAAAAATCCGAGGAAAAGGCACTAGAAGACTACCGACTTCAAACAGTTAGGATAATTAGTTTCTATAAAACCACTATTCTTAAAAGAGTCCCACGCCAATGTAGTGGGGATTGGAATCTGGATGTTCTATATAGTGTTTCTTCCATTGAACTATCTTCTAAGTGTCCGAATTGCCAAGAAAATGGATGTGTTGGATATCAATATTGAGTAACGGTGATTACAAAAATAGTTGTGTTAATTCATATGGAAATATCCATCAAAAATTGAACCAAAGTAGAGAAAATTATTTGCCAACCCTGACCGATTTATATGAAACTATTAAATCATTGGTTACAAGCATTGGAAGTGTAGTAAGCTTTATCACTATTATTAGGGTACTTATATTACTAAAATTCTTACATCATACACATGACACATTTCCGTTAAATTCAACAATTCCATGGAGTTTTGTATAAGAAAAATGCATTTGGACAATATATCATTTTTCTGATGTCTCCATTTAGGCAAATTAAACACCGACATTATTTTAAGTACTACCGGATAATGATTTTCAGTCAACAATCCCTCATTTATGAACTGGATAACTTTAGCTTCATATATATTTATTATATCGTCAGTTAAAATATGACTCAATTTGTACAAGAAAACTGTGACATCTTCCAAGTCTTTAACGCTGCTGATTTTATCTAAAAAGCGTATCAATATAAACAATATAGATTTAAATTTAAATCAACCTACCAATTTCATCAAAAACCTTAGGTATTAAATCAATAATCATATAATAAGGTCTTACACTATTTTCGTCAAATATAACTTTAACTAGCCTCACTAGAATATCTAAAGAAAACCCATCTTTGAGGATATTTCTTAATTTAAAAGCAATATTTTGTACTAAGCAACTTTCTTCTGATACTCCTAACCAATGCAAATGTATGAGAGTGTGGCTCAGAAACAATGGATCATAGGAATCTAATAAATTTGCTATTTTTTCAGTAACCAAATAAAATTCCTTATATTCAAGTAGTTTACTAAAAAATTGTTGTTTAGCTTCCACCCTGCCTTCTACTTGATCGTCCCCAATTAAATGATTAATAAATATATCTTGCAGATCAGAAAAAGTTATAACTATTTGGGTGAGATGTTTGTAATTTAAATGATCAATATTTGTTTGTATAAAGTTAAAAATCTCCTCAATTGAGGCGCATTTTTCAATTTCGGATATCACCGGGTCTGTGCTGTTTTCAAATAAAAGGGCTCTAACAATTTCCGATTTAGATAAGGGCTGAAACTCTTGGTAAGGATATATGCCAGTTATTTCTTCCATTTCCGAATTCTTATTGAAATAGCAGAGTTTTTTATTTTGCATGTAGGACTTTTTTCTAGTGAACTTTTGATGTTTTAACTGGTTTATGCTGAATTGTGGCTGCCTAAGGGATAAAGTACTTGCGTGTCTCTTACATAATATCGCACTTTTTAAATGACAACATAATTTATAGTGTTTTAATAGTAGGTTTTTGGAAAAATTCATTTTTGAACTAATGTATGTTGGTGTTTGTTTTGATTTTTTGAATTTGTTGAGGTTATGATGAATGATCTTTGTAGTAGAGAAGGGTTTGGGGGCGTGGGTTTGTCGATATCGATAGGTATCGATCCGATATTTCTGATTTTTTAAAATAAATTAAATCAGCCTCTCTTGAATGTCCACTGCCTATAATAGTGGTGGTTTTTTTCCTAATTTATTATTTTGAAATATTAATTTGATGAAATGATGGAGTAACAACGACACATCAATCAAGACCAAACAACAATTTCCAGATCATTTTTTGTCTATTCCCGGCTCTTGAATTTGTGGAAATGAAGCAGATTCAAGAGTCTGGATTAGAAAAAACATGAATGTCCTCTTATCTAGCATTTTATCCCAGTTTTTCTACATTTCTTCTTTTAGTTAATGCTCAGTTTTTCCATCTCAATTTTAGGTCTGCATTGTGTCTGAACGTCTGAAGACAAAAAAAGAGATGTCTAGAAGACGTTCAGATGTCGTAAATTCACATCTTAAAGACCACTGAGCCATTTTAAAGAGATTTAAAAGACGTCTTTAAAGATACGTTTACACTTGGAAAGTTTACTGGCGGAAAGTACTTGCCGCCACTAAACTTGTCATGGACCACAGGAAAGTGCACTTGCTACTTGCCGGCGATTGCTTTCCAAAACTTGATGGACCGGCTAGTTTACTTGCCGCTACGCTGAATTTCTATTTGTACTTTCCGTGTGTTTCTGATAAAGGAAGCAAAACTTTTAATTCACCAGTGGCAAGATATTGTAATGTGACTTGTGACTTCCAATTTGATTTTAGGAGAAATAGGACCTCTCATCCACGTTTCTGACTTCGTCAGTTTACGTTCAACTAGCTTTAACAGTTCTTGAAATTTTTGGTATGATTTGGAATCGGGATTTTCAATTGATAGGTATCTCCTTTAAGAGTCGTTCTGACGCACCCAGGCTACTTTTACGTCTGATCCAATCTCTAAACCAAAATCGTTTTTCCCTATTTTTCTCGCGTTCTAACTTGATTATTAAATTATTGGCAATTTCACATTACAACAACTTTATAGCAGCACGCACTACCCTACTTGTAGCCATTCTATTTTTTTACTACTGTTTGGCAAATAAACTTGAAAATATAGACGTCTTTTTCTGTTGAACCGTGTTTTAAAACGTTTCAAAACTGGTTCAATTGCTACGTCATCAGAACGGATCGGTGGTGATCAAAATGCCCCGTTTTAATACTGTGTTCATGAAATCTCTAAAATTATTGTTTTGTGGTATTTTAAGGTCAGCTGTTTAACGCCTATTTTGAAACAGGCTGAAAGAGCGGTTCGAAACTGGTTGAACCGTTTCCGTACAGGGTATTTGATTATATTTGGCACCATACCTACAGCCTTTACTATTTAAGATAGAAAAAAATTGTAAATACAAAACTTCACAGTTTTTTTCTATATTTTCTTTTAACATTATCAGAAAAAACAAAATCGCATCGGAAATGGAGAAACGTAGACAACTTCGACTTTTTTAAATGGAACACCCTGTATATTTTGCGATAAAATGAAAGACCTTTTCTTCCTGATTACAAATATATATATGTTGATCACATTTGCATGAGCCATTTTTGACATATCTCAGGTTAAATTAAATTATAAAGAATTTGCAGAGAAGTTCCATAAGGATCTCTATCTTTATAAAATCTCTTTGCAATTTAGTTATAATTTAAGCTGAGATATGTCAAAAATGGCTCATGCAAATATGATCAACATATATATATTTGTTATCAGGAAGAAAAGGTCTTTCATTTTATCGCAAAATATACAGGGTGTTCCATTTAAAAAAGTCGAAGTTGTCTACGTTTCTCCATTTTACGATGCGATTTTGTTTTTTCTGATAATGTTAAAAGCAAATATAGAAAAAAAACTGTCAAGTTTTATATTTATAATTTTTTTCTATCTTAAATAGTAAAGGCTGTAGGTATGGTGCCAAATATAATCAAATACCCTGTACATGACGTCACCGTTGCAACACAAAAATGGAGCGTTTTAAAACGTTTCAAAACATTTCAAAATATTCCGTCAGAAAAAGACGTCTATGTAAACACACAACAATGAACAAGTTTAGTGACGCAAGTACTTTCCGCCAGTAAACTTTCCAAGTGTAAACATAAGACATCTTGTTGAAGATGTCTTTAGTGTTGAAAAAATCTCATAAAGGCGTTTTTATGTCTGCTTGTCGTTTGTGGATATTTAGGGACGTTTTTAAGATATCTAGATGTGTATCTACAAAAACTTTCCACAGAATTCGTTTTTAACAGTTACTGCGGAAACCATTTGAAATGCTACAGAACACTTTAGAACTTTACTAAGTAAGTGAGCCTTAAACTTAAATTCCAATTCGGAATTTCCAAAAGCTTTATGTAGCGCTTGAGAACAATTTGGAAACTTCAGAAGCATTTTAGAATGCTCCAAAACATTCAAACACTCTATTAGAATCTTCAGTAGAAACATGTTAAAAAGCGCTAGAATCAAGGACGTATATAAGGGGGGGGGGGGTTTTTTGGGAGTTCAAACCCCCCCCCCCCCATTGAACTGAATAAATTATTATTATTTTTTTTAAATAAACGTTTTTGCATTTTTCAACCGAAAAAATGTTTCGGCGATATCCTCCGGCGACTATGCCAGGTTATACCTAAACATGGTCTGGTCTAAAATTGAAACCCTTTCCAGCATAGAGCTCGAGCCGCCACTGCTCTAAAACCCCCTCCATGTAAAAGCTATAGCTACGTCGTTGGCTAGAATCTTAGGATTCAGGATTCAGGTTAAAAGTTACAAAACGCCTTCCAATCTTAGATTTAATTTAGTACTGGAAACTATCGTCGCGTCGTGGGGTTATATTGGGGGTCGCCAGTCGCCAGTAGGTATCGCTCTGGACGCTCTGACTGCGACATCCCCCGCTATAGATTTTAAAAAATGGTAATAGATCATTTTACAGCTGGCGTGTATATGGGACTTCATGTAACCTTTTTTTTATCATTAATAAATGATATTTGAGATTAACTTTTAATAGTGTTATCTATAAAAACTAAAACTCGTGATTCGTAAAAAAAAAATTATTGAGCATAGCTTAATGAAAAAAATGACATTTTTACATGTAAAAATGTCATTTTAAGCTATACTTAGTTATCGTTGAACCTCCCTTAATATGGTCGGTGCAAACGGCCATAACTAAAGATATATCAGGACAATGATTTGGACAGGCCCTACGGCCTACGATTCTCATCTTAAAACTATAAAAATGAACTTAGAACTTCTTTTAGGACATAAAAAATAGATATCTTTAATGATACGAGCAGAAACTGCATAACAAAACATAAAAAAAAGGTAATAGAATTTTTAAAAAGGTATAAATTACATGCGGAGGTGCAAGGTGTTTCATTATTGTCGAGAGATACTATGGTTGACCGAGGTGCGAAGCGCCGAGGTCAACCAATTTTCGAGACAATAATATGAAAAGTTTCCACCGAATTATGTATACTACCTATTTTATTTTGAATCATTAATGGCCATTTCCACCAACTAATTTAGGGAAGCCCTAACGATAGGTATGCCTTAAACTGACATTTCTCCATGTGAAAATGTCATTTTAGGGAATACTTATCATAATTATTGAAAAAAATAAGGTAAAAATCTGACAAAAATGGAATTCCCACTGACAGTCTGACACCGACATTGACATCTTATGAAATTTCAACAATATAAACACATGTGACATCTACTTCTAAATACAAACATTGCAACTGGATTCATATAAAAGTGATTTATATTCTTAAATAGAACATTCACTGGATTCATCCCCTCCATTTTTTGTTTTAGTTCGTGACTACACCGCTGTGCGCCCATATCGCCGTTTCTTAACGTCCCCCTCGTTTTTATTCTAATCTGTGACTTCACCGATGAGTTAGCTATCTTTGTTTAGTGAATAGAAAATTACAATAACCGACATAGAATGGTGGATATAAAAGCAGTCATAAAAACGCAGAGGTCCATTTAACATCATAATGCATATGTCATCTTGTCATAATCTTGTCATCTGATTTATTTTATTGAGTGCATCGTCGTTGAGTGAGTTTGTTGTTTTGAATTGTAAATTTGTGAAAGTGATAAGTGCATCACAAGCAGCCGGTTTAAAGCAGTTATTGTCACAATATGTGACCAGACGCAAAAAAATTAATCGGCCATAAGCGAATTGCAGCGACAGACCATAGAAATCTATATCAAAAACAACACAGAAACAGAAATGTTGGTTTTTTTGGAGATAAACAACCTAGAAATCGTAATCGTGCCACTGTATGATGCTCCACACGTGCTCAAGGGAATTAGAAATAACTTGATCAAATATGACGGCCATTCAAATGGGAAAATGGACATTTTCAAAAAGCAGATTGGAAATAGTCTTCATCCAGCTCTATGAGTCAGATACGCCAGATCATCTAGATTATAGACTATTTTATTCATTAAGTGATTCTCACATAAATATATGAGAATAAAATTTTAGTTTGAAGTTTCGGAGCTTTATTTTGAAAAAATTGAAATGTCAAACCAGTAATTTTAAACTGAGATTCAAACTGCTCGCCAAATATTAGTTCGACTTATGCCCGATTGCACCATCTCTCTTAACTGAGGCTCAACGATAACTATCCCTTAAATTGACAGTTTAGCTCAAGGGAATTAGAAATAACTTGATCAAATATGACGGCCATTCAAATGGGAAAATGGACATTTTCAAAAAGCAGATTGGAAATAGTGTTTCAGCCAGCTCCATGAGTCAGATACGCCAGATCATCTAGATTATAGACTATTTTATTCATTAAGTGATTCTCACATAAATATATGAGAATAAAATTTTAGTTAGAAGTTTCGGAGCTTTATTTTGAAAAAATTTAAATGTCAAACCAGTAATTTTAAACTGAGATTCAAACTGCTCGCCAAATATTAGTTCGACTAGCCCAATGAA